GCTGGCCCCGGGACCACCACTGAACACGCCGCTGAACACGCCGCTGAACACGCCGCCAGACTGTCGGGGGACTCCGTCTGGTCAAACACACACATGAGCAGCACACACAGTGGGATGTACATTTACAGTCACAGGAAGGCGTGTTTGAGGGTGACGGCTCTTTGTGGATCAGGACCCTGTTTCTAACTGCCTCATTTCATTCCAGGGGACTGTGTGTCATTCCTCGGATGGACTCACTTCCACAATTCACACGTGTAAATATATACACACATGAAGCACACTGACATGTATTCATCATTTACCAGGAATTCATTTACTGTTTATCATTGGCTTTTAACATTAAAGGTCTTCATACTAGCGGAATTATTAAGTGTGGAAGAAATTAACCATAGAACTGATGTGTTGTGGTGTTTCTCCCATTTGAACTAATTGGTGGATCTCACTCATCAGGGGGAACCATATTTGCCTTGACTTTTTGCCGGGGGACCCAGAAAATGATGCACCTGCTTGCTTGTCTTCAGAGGATGTAGAAACAAAACCCTTTGGACAGAATTTCACTTAATATTTTATGTTTACCTTTAAATTGAATAGTCTCTTGAACACCCTCTTTCATTTTAAAAGAAAACACCGTGTCTGTATGTGCCTGTGGGTGTCTGTGTAGGGTGGGGGGTGTCGCCGTTTTCTGTGTGTATCTCTGTGCTTGTGTATCGTGTGTTTGTATCGGTCTGTGCGTCTCTGTGTTTTGTGTCACCTTGTGTGTGTCTCTACCGTTCACCGTGCCCCCCTCTACCCCATCTTGGAGTGAAGCTATTGTTCAGTCTGTGTTTGTGTGTAGACCTCGTACCCTAACTGGGGGGGGGGCATCTCCCATTCAGGCACCGCCCAGAGCCACACCCCTATGCAGACAGCTTCGCCCTCTGCCTGTGTGTAAGTGTGGTGGCCCTGGGTGTGATTTCACAGGCCCTGATGTGTGTTCTGGTGTGAGGGCAAACAATTGATTTGCCAAACCAGCAAAAGCCAGCATGAGCCTGGGGAAGGGGGTGTGGGGGGTGGTCACCCTGTTCATACTTTACTTCCTATTATTCAGATTTCAGCCAGACTGCCATCATGCCAATCTTCTGTCACACTGAATTTCAGGATCTGCAACCAGTGATCCAGCTACTATAGTGTGACCCCCCAGATAAGCAATTGTTCATCTTTAGATTCATATTTCATTGGAATAATTTATTCCATGTGCAATGGTACTGTCCAACCTGGCACTTTAGTCACAGCATTACTATTACCTGTCTGTGTGATGTCACCTGTCTGTCCCTTAGTTGTCTGTGATGTCACTTGTCTGTCCCCCAGCTGTCTGTGTGATGTCACCTGTCTGTCCGTCATTGTTGTCCCCCCTCTGTGTGATGTCACCTCTGTCCCCTAGCTGTCTGACATCATCTGTCTGTCTCCCAGTCTTCTGTGATGTCAGCTGTGTCATTTTTGTCCCCCAGCTGTCTGTGTGATGTCATCTGTTAGTCTCACCCTCTTCTCCTTTGTCCCAGTGGCTCAGAAAGGCTTTGGTGAAACATGTTTGCATGCTCACATCAGCATGAATGATGTCAGTTCCGGACCATGAAAATATGATTCTCAAAGAAAGTCATAAAAAAAACTTACTGTACCAATACTACCAATGAATACTTAAAAAAAGTCATGATTACCAGGAAGAAAACATTGTTAGTACTGTATAGTGTAAAATACTGTATCCTCAAAATGGTATTTCTGATTGTTAAGTTGTTGTGGATTTTTAAAATTTCCTTTTAAATGGACTTTTTTATGAGTTGAATGGTTTGAAGCAGAGACCAGCAGTGAATTTGTGGAATTGACCAGTTTTCGCAGTGTCACTAATAGCGAGTATGGCTGTGTGTCCAAGCTGAAATAAAGACGATGATGACAGGCCTGCGTGTCTTTATGCGGGCCGCGCTGCATGAGCACGTTGCTGAGTGCGACGGCCACGTAGTTGCGTTCCCACGCTGCTCTCTCCAAAGCCACTTCATGCCTCTACGCATCACATTTTCTGTACTCTGCGTGGTTCTGTGGGCAGCATTCGGGGAAGCCGTCATGGGATTTTCCCACAGCCTCTTTCTGCTCCACATTATTTATCACACAAGAGGCTGTATCAGCATGAAAGCAAACGGGGAAAAACGGCGGCTGACAGACAGGCACGGGGGTGCGCATCTGTCTCACCGCACTTCCTGTTCCCTCTCTCTCCTCAGATTTTGCCTCTATTTAAACAAATCCCGCCTAATCTGTGCACCCGCTGGCCTTCCCACTGTGCGTCTCCATTTCTGCGGGGTCAGAAATCCACCCTGTCACGACACGTCATCGACCGCTGTGTCAGACGCTGGCAGACTGTAGTAGCACATGTGTACCAGGGGTGGCGTCAGTACCACTGCAGGAGAGGGAGTGCTGTTTCCATAGCAACCGTCTCTTTGGGAAGAACTATTTAGATAGAATCCATCTCATTCATTTTGGTGAACTGGGGCTTGCAGATTGAGAAGAATGTTATTAATGGCATATATTTACTAAATTTGAATATGTGTTCAAGAAAACAAGAATCTATTGTCATTGTCATCAACATAAAACAATAATAGGATAATCAAAGCTATACTGCTTACATATGAGAAACTTGATCAGTAACTCATGTGTCCGAAACCACGAGTGTGTGTCTGTTTCTTCTCCTGGGACTGGTTAACCGAAACTTACCAAGCATTGCATACTAGTTTTGCCTTAAACTGATTAGCTACATAGTTGCTCCTGGCAATTTTGAAGCGGGTGGGGGTGGAGACGAAGTCATGCTTGACTGCAGGTTGGGTGGTGGAGGTGGCTCAGTAATTAAATGCTTGTTTCTGTGAAGAGTCATTTGTTTGGAGAGCCCAGGTCCAGGCTGAACAGTTTCTGGGGTGAGTACTGCCTGAAAATACTTCTTTATAAACATCTTAACATTCTTACAAACAAGATTTTGCTTAAATGCTTGCTTTAAATTGCCACTTTAAGGCCTTTCACAGCAGTAATCCCCTGTTGCACTTTTTTGTATATCTATTCTGACATCTAGTGTTTTGGTTTGGTAGTGCAGCTGTTTTGTCAATAATCCATTCATTCATCTTTCAGAAACGGTGGGCACAAATACACATACACACCTGGGCAGCACTTACCGGGCCACCACCTCACCAACTCACATACTAAGGGATATTTAGAGATAACATTTCCCCTATCCAAATAACTGCAATAGGAAACCTGCAGAACACGGCTGTATCGTTGATCTTTATTTTCGGTTATTTTACAACTTCCTCCCTGAGACCACGCCGAGATTCTAACCAACATCGGCACAATTAATCTTCGACAGCCCTGAACATGTGTTATCCCTTTGCTTTTTTTCCTGTCACCGTCAGCAGCTAATGATACCTCGGTCTCTGTCACCCTTCAGCGTCCTTCCAGCGACAATCCACTCGAGTCACAACGGAAGGCATCGTGGCGACAGCAGTCTCACATTGTTTAAGCGATTGTCACTCGATTAAGAAACCCTGGTATGACGTCACCCGGAACTACAGAGCCCGACTAAATCAGTCGATGGCCGTGTAGTGATCTGTGGATTGTGTTTTGCGGCCTTCGCTGGAGACCAAACCTAAAGATCTCATAAAATCACCATTGCGTACATCATTAAATATATTGCCGTTTACGGGAGCAGCCCTAGATGTGTCTAGTCTATTGAGCTATCTGTGAAATAAAGTGAACGCTGTACGGTAAGTACAAGTCGCCGGTAAGACTGTGTGTTAGCCGATTTGCTAAGCGCTGGGCATCAGGTTGGATGGAGACCCGGAGCATCCCAGGATGCCGATGCTAAAACCGGTTTCTCAGTCAGACGGCCCCGAGCTTATCGATGTGTTTGTGAAGCCCACCGCGATCTTCCAATTCATATTCCTTCGTCCTGGTCGTCATGTGCAGGTGTTCACCAACTATTTTTTTTTAACTTTCATTTTCTTGTATATAATATATACACATTTTACATCATAAATACAGGGTTGCCAACTTTGGTCACCTGGCTGGAGTGAGATTTTAGATTCGAGACAAGTCTGCACACACATGCACACGCATTTACATGAACATAACTGTTTTATTACCTTGTAAATAGTCTGTAGGGTTTGCAATCTACCCTAATGCTTGTGATATGGCTAATTTTAGAATTATAATGGAATAATATAGATTTGCCGTAAGATTTCTTGCGTGAGCGTACGAGTCTGAAAGCGTGAGAGTTGGCAGCACTGTAATTATAAACTGTGAACGGGATCTTCATTTGGGGCTCTGTGCTCACATACCGTAGTTTGACAGTGCCAGTTTAAGTATAACTTAGATTTAATTGTATTATACCAACATTATTCCGTGCCTTTAACGCGTGTTTATGCGTTGACGATACGTTTGATGAGCGTGTAGGTTGGAAAGTCCTTTACCTTGCCAGTGTATTCTAGGTTGATGGTGGTGGGTGTTAGGCTTACGGAGGTCGGAGCTGGGAATGACATTACACAAGAGTTAACCGAGTAGAGTACAAGAAGTCGACAAGCTATTTAGCAGCACCAGATCTAGTCGGTTTCATTTTTAGTAATTGTTAGCAATACCAGTTGAAGTCATATTTTGCATATACAGGCACTGTAGCAACATGTCCACAGATAGTGGTTGGATAGTACTGTGTGTACTACCGATTTAATGAGACACAAGTCATAAGTGCTAATAGACAGTATATAACTACAGCTTTCATTTTTGTTGATGAAGGGCACAGCCATTTTGAATTCTGAGATCAGGGTTTTACAGGTTCCTCCGATTTTTCGAAATTGGAACCCCCAACTCAGAAATTCCAACTTCCAAGTTGAAATGGAACACACAGCCGCAAATCCTATTCTTTACCAGTCATTTCTAGGTTCCCATGGTGGTGGGGTGGACTCCATGGACCCACCCACAAAGCCAGCAGCCAATCAGGTGGCAGATGTGGTGTTCGTCATCGAAGGAACCGCAAACCTCGGCCCTTACTTTGAATCCTTAAGGAAGCATTACATCCTGCCAGCCATCGAGTGAGTCTTTGAAACTTCCACTTTGTCCTCGGATGCTGCCTTTTCTGTTCTGTGCGTTTTTTCCACTTGCGTGTGAGTATTACAGTGAAATAAACTACTTTTCACCACAGGTTTTTTAATGGCGGCCCCCCTGCAGAAACCGACTTTGGGGGAGATGTGAGTTTTCTTTTTACGTTTACTTTTATTTTGCAGAGACTTTTGTCCAATCTAACGGTCCAGTGAGGCAAATAGCACATTTCAAACAAGGAGTCAGCTAGGCACAAGTGCTGCGAGGTCGAGCTTGCAAAAAATGCACCGGTATATATATGTAACATTAAGAACATTCAGGGAATATAGAGAAACATTAGACTAGTAGAGGGATTTCTGGAGCAGATGAGTCTTGAGGCATTTCTTTAAGGTTGACGGAGAATCTGATGACCGGACGTGGTTCGGCAGCTGATTCCTCCATCAGGGAACCACAAATGAGAAGCATCTGGAATGACACGTCTCACGTGATGGAGGAATCTCCAAGTGGTATTGGTTTGCTGACTGAAGAGGGCGAGATGGGACGTAGGATTTAAGGAGCTCCTCTTGATAAAATTAAGTGCCTGTCCGTCAATGGATCTGACTGACAGTACCAAGGACTTCTAATGGGAGCCAATGAAGTTGGTTTGACAGCACAAGCTGATAAACCTGCAATTAGAGAGTTAGGCTAGTCCAATCACGAGGTAACAAGTGCCTGGACTAGAAGCACTTCTGTTTAGGCCTTTTCTGCATAATCAGAAAAGGCCTGATCTTCCAGATGTTATTCAGTGTGAATCTGCTAGATCAGGAGATTGCTGTTATGTTGTCAGCAAAGGACAGCTGGTAATCTATCATTACTCCTAGGTTCCTAGCGGACCATGATGGAGACAGCGCTGGTGATCCAGTTCGTACAGAGATGTCATGATGGATGATAGGGCTGGAAGAAAAGACAAGGACCTCAGTTTTGTAATGTTTTAGCTGGAGGTGATCATCCATCATCCAGGCTGAGATGTGACTGAGGCGTGCAGAGATCAGAGCAGAGACTGGTGTAATAGTGACCAGAGCAGCCGTGTGGCTGGATGATCTGACCTAGAGAGGAAACATAAAGAGAGAAGAGGAGGGGACCAAGGACAGAGCCTTGGGGAATACCAGTCATTACTTGATGTGACTTTGACACCCTTGCACCTCAAGCCACTAGGAATGATCTGTCTGCTAGGGATATAGTGAACCAGTGTAGTGTAGTCCCTTTGACGCTAAATTGGGTTAGGGTGTTCAGCTGGATTTGATGATGAACTGTGTTAAAGACTGCAAAGAGGTCTAGCCGTATCAGGACGGACAACTGTGATGCCGCTTTTGCAGCTCTCAGGGCATCCACAACAGGGAGGAGGGCAGTTACGGCTTAGTGTCCAAGTCTGAAGCCTGACTGGAGAGGGTCCAAAAGAATTTCTGCTTGAGAAATTCCGACTTGACGGAGAAGAGCACGTTTAAAAGTTTTGGACAGAAATGAAAGAAGGGAGACTTGTCGATAATTCTGTCTGAGAAGGGTCAAGTGAGGGTTTCTTAAGCAGCGGTGTCACACAAGCCTGCTTAAATGCGGAATGTGCCAGTTGTAAGAGACGAGTTAATCGGGTGAGTAAGTGCAGGGGACAGGGTCCCGGGCACTCGTGGTGGGCCAGTGGGCGAGAAGGTTAGGGGTACATGAACGGAAAAGAAGGACCATGCCCAGAGGGCTGCATGCAGGTTGTGGGTCCGGAGAACTGGCTGGCGATAACTCTCATGAAAATAAAGTAGCGAAATCATTAGCAGTCACTGTGCCACAGACCTAATGAATGCTACTTGGAGAAACACATTTTGCTGTAATCCTGTTTCCTGTCTCGCCTCCAGCCCCCCTCCTGTAATCCTGTGTCCTCTCTGGTCCCGCCTCTCAGTGCCCTCTCCGGTAATCTGGGGTTGTTGCTTTGTGTTGAGAAATATGTCAGACGCATTTTTAATTTTCTGTCTCCCAGTATGGAGGAACACAGTACAGCCTGGTTGTGTTCAACACGGTGGACTGTGCCCCCGAGTCCTACGTGCAGTGCCACGCTCCTACAAGCTCTGCCTTTGAGTTTGTCACATGGATCGACAGCATCCAGTAAGAGTCCTCTGAGCCGGCCTGGCTCATGTTGTGGGGGTTTGTCTTTGGCCCCTTGCCATCTGTCTGACATTGGGGGGGATACATTAAAAAATGAAAAATTAATAAACCCAAAATAAAGAAGAATAAAAATAAAGAATAAAATGCTGGTAGGTGAAACAAACCAGTAACTCATCATTATTGGAGGGATGTTAAACAACAAAAGAGTGGCACTTGGAGAGCTCTGGGCCGCTGTACCTGTAAACACTGCCATCATGGTTCATAGTTCTCAGTTTCCATTGTTAAAATGAATCTTTGCAAGTAATTAAAAATCAAGACTTTTGGAGAATCGATCACAATCGATATTGCAATACTTAAGTGTATCGATAATTTCTTACAAGCCTAGTGTGTAGCCGCGCTTAGCAAGCGCTCAGTCTGTGTGTACAGCAGGGCTGTGTGCGGGTGTCTGTTTGCAGCTGTCCATCACTCCCTGTCACTGTGTTTGAAACAGTCTCTGCCTGTTACTGTTTCCTCCAATCAGGTTCATGGGGGGCGGGGCCGAGAGCTGCAGCCTGATTGCTGAGGGCCTATCTGTGGCCCTGCAGCTCTTTGATGACTTCAAGAAGATGCGGGAGCAGATGTGAGTAGGGAGCTATAGGCATGGTGGGAGCCGCCGTCAGCGTGACCTCCTGTAACACTCGGGATGGGGGGGGGGCTGTCGGCATGATCTCTAACAGAGGGCTCCACACTGGCTTTTCCAGTGGTAGCACTGCAGCTGCCAGCTTTCTCGGTCGGTCACACCTGTCGCACCCCCTTCTTTTTGGTGCAGCGTGGTATTAATCAATGACTTTGATTATGCTGATGAATAGTTGTCCTAATTTGCATTCCCTGGTTTTTGTATTGATGACAGACTGACAGTGACTCAAGACCCCCATTAGTGAGGGTTAGAGGCAGCAGATCCCAGCGGATAATATTTTTATTATAAATAATGGCTCCCCTAACTGCTACCCATAAAAGTCTGCTAGTCTGAACTATAACATAAGTCTGTTTATTACTGATTTCTCAACAAACAGTACTGTATACTTTGCATGTCAAATTACTGTCATTTTCAATCAAGATCAACAATTTTATTATATATATATAAATATATATGAAGTGATCACTCTTGAAGTGATCTCTTGTGACAGTGACACACTGAGTCACTCTCTCCTGCCCTGCACCAGAGGTCAGACGCACAAGGTGTGCATGCTGCTGTGTAACTCGCCGCCGTACCTCCTGCCTGCCGTGGAGAGCGTCAGCTACACCGGCTGCACGGCCGACAGCCTGGTGCAGATCATCCGTGACGTGAGTGAACCCAAGTTACCCACAATGCCCTGGGGTTGACCCAGTGCTGCTCCTGTGCGTGCTTTCCCCCTCAGTCAGTGCGTGTATTAACATTGACCTCCTCTACCTGCCCCCCCCCCATAGAGAGGCATACATTTCTCTGTAATTTCCCCGCGGAAGCTGCCCGCCTTGCAGGCCCTCTTCGAACGGGCATCCCCTATTGGCGTCCCGGCAGACACCTCACACCCAGACTACAGTCAAGACCCCCGTCACATGATCCTGGTGCGGGGCATCGCTCTCCCTGGTGAGCAGATTTCCCTCTCTTTTCTGCTCAATTTCTCTGTGTATATCCGTAATGGAAGATAAAAATGAATTGTTCCTTCTCCGCTCTCTTTCTGCCCCCCCCGACTATCCCTCCCCCTCTCTTATTGGTTAGTTGCTCAAGGCGGAGGCTCAGCTGTAGGCCCTCTGAAGCCAGTTTTACCCTCTCAGCCCATGTCTGGCAATCAGCCTCCTATGGGCGGAGCCACACAGCCTCCTCCTCCAATCAACACATCCCACCAGTATCAGGTAATAGAGTATAGGGCAGAATGTTTGTGAAAGCTGTGCATGAAGACCAGTAAACATGAACATCTATGAGTGATCAGCTGTCTGACTCTTCCTCTGTCTATACCCCCTCTGTCCCCCTTGTCTCCCTCTGCCTACACTCCACATCTCCCATCTTTCTCTCTCTCTGCACTCCATCTGCCCTTTCTCCATCTCTTATTCTGTGTACACCACATCTGTCCATCTGTCCCCCATCTCTCCTACACCCTGTCTGTTTGTACCCCCCGTCTCTCCCTATGTCTACACGGCATACATCTGTGTTCTGTCCCCACCCCTAGACTTCGCCATCTCTCACTGCCGCCCAGGTTGCTGCCCAGATGGCCGTGGAGGCTGCCCACAACCAGAAGAGGCCCTGTGAGTATGGGGTGGCCATAGGCCCTTTGGGGTCTATAGCTCTTGGGCTTCTGGTCTTCCTCTGGCAGTCATCGGCCATCCTCATCCTCCTTTTGTCTTCTCTCAGTTCCCCCAATGGGAAACCCCGGTCCACCCTTCAGTGGTCAAGCACCTTCCCTCCAACCAGTGAGCGGCGTGAAACTTGCCCCATCTAATCAGCCCAGTCTGGCTACAGTCACCACCATGATACCCCCACAGGCTCCACCCCCTCAGCAACAACCTCCACAGCAAGTACCACCCCCTGGACAACCGCCAGCAAATCAGCAGCCACCGCAGCCCCCACAGCAGCCCCCGATCAGTCAGCAGACTCCGCCGTCTTCTCAGCCTAGCATGGTGAGAGGAAAACATGTTAATCATTCCCTACAGCAGCGTGGATGTCTGCAGAACCTCCTATCTGTCTTCCTGTCTCCCTGCGTGCCTGTCTCCCTGCGTGCCTGTCTCCCTGCGTGCCTGTCTCCCTGATTGCCTGTCTCCCTGATTGCCTGTCTCCCTGATTGCCTGTCTCCCTGATTGCCTGTCTCCCTGATTGCCTGTCTCCCTGCATGCCTGTCTCCCTGTCTGCTTGTCTGTAACTAGATGGGGCTACTCAGTCAGGCTCCAGTTTACGATGTAGCTGTGATGGGACTTATTTTCCGGGAAGCCAAGCTTACAGCTGTAGCAGTCTGAGTGCCTGCACTGTAGGAACACATTGACCAAACCAGCCTGAGATGTGTGCCGTACCCAGAACCATCCACAAGGCTCCTCCTTGCTGGCCTAAGCCTTTGGGGAGGGTTGTGTACCTTTTCTGATGGAACTCCCTGTCTGTGTCTTTTTCTGGCAGCCTGGCGTATCTGCCCCAGCAAACTCCAATCCGATTGGACAGCAAGGGGTAGCCAATAAGATAATGGCATGGAGTGGGGTGCTGGAGTGGCAGGAGGTAATGACATCAAACTGGCTGTGTTAACTTGAAGGGCTGTATTTAATTGCGAAGAAAGGACATCAAACACACATAATGTAAAAACCTGCACTGCATAATTTTTTACTTTTTATTAGAACAGAGCAGTATTGATGAACAGGGAAGCTTGTGGGGTTTCAGTCCATTTATACCCATACCTCTGCAGAAACCCAAAACAACGCCAATGGACTCCAGCACCAAGCTGACGCGCTCACTGCCCTGCCAGGTGTACGTGAACCATGGGGAGAATCTGTAAGTAAGACACCCATTTGTTTGCATTCCCCGTCTTGGAAGGGGGTGGAGCTGGTTGGGGTGGATCATCTCTCTTCTGATTGGCTGATACACCTGTTCTGTACCCTCCTCTCAGCAATGCTGACCAATGGCCACAGAAGCTGATCATGCAGCTCATCCCTCAACAGCTGCTGGTAAGGCGTCCCTTTCCTCCCGGCACGTCTCAGTCTGCCCCCATCCCCCACCAACTGCCTTTCTTCCCAGCTCACTCTGCCCACCCCCCTTTCCCAGACCACACTCGGGCCGCTCTTCAGGAATTCGAGGATGGTGCAGTTTCACTTCACCAACAAGGACATGGAGTCGCTGAAGGGGCTGTACCGCATCATGGCCAATGGTTTTGTGAGTGTCGACAGCGCCCCCTCTGGCCAGCCTGGATTTATGGAGGAGCAGCATGTCTCCAGCTTATTCACGTCTGTCCTTCCTTAAAATATTCTTTCCTAGAGCTACTTGTGATTCTGTCCACTAAACAGTTACACATGCCCTTTACTTGCTCTCTGCCACTCCCATGTATGGCCACCAGATGGCACCAGTGCTGAGACATTTCACACAGCTTTCCTTTTCAGTGCAGCACTTGTGCAGAGTTGGGTGCTTTGCTATAATTGCTGCTGTCTTTCTGACGTGGCGCCCCCCCTAGGCCGGCTGTGTCCACTTCCCTAACAGCAGTCCCTGTGAGGTACGCGTTCTTATGCTGCTCTACTCATCGAAGAAGAAGATCTTCATGGGTCTGATCCCCAACGACCAGAGTGGCTTCGTCAACGGGATCCGCCAGGTCATCACCAACCACAAGCAGGTCCAGCAGCACCGTACGGTGAGCCGGCCACAACCTGCCCTCTTCGCCCCCTGCTGGAGATGCTGGGTCTGACGCCTGCCAATAGCACATGCACACCTTCATACTGGCCATGTTCTCTTCCAGCTCACATCCACCGGGGCCATGCCACAGGGCCCCGTCCCACCCAACCAGAATTTCCTTAACAGGCCCTCGGGACCCATTCCTGTTTCCCATGGCAACGTGCAGCAACAGGTACAGGCCTGGCACTGCGGGTGGCTCATCTCCATGTGCGTGAGGCCGCATGCTCTATTAATCCCCGCCCCCCCCTTCTCTCTCAGTCTGTCGTTTCCGGGTTGCCCCCAGTCAGTCAGGTTACCATGATGGAGGACCAACAAAGGCAGTCTAACATGGTGAGAGGCGCTGGCTTTTCTCTCTGAGCACAGAGCGGCTCTGCTTTGCTCTCCTCCACCGGTCTTCTTTTCTTACACCTAAAATGGGGCCATCCTCTCTTACCAGCTCTCTCTCCCATTGGCTTTCAGATGAGAGCCGCTGCTACAGCCAATCAGCAGCCTCCTGTCACAGGCGCACCCCCCAATCAGACGGCACAGGGCGGCCAGGCTCCTTCTCAGCCTCCAATCCACCGACTCTCCAACCCGGGTGCCAATCCACAGCTCCGCAGCCTCCTGCTCAGCCAGCAGCAGCCGGTGAGACCACTGGCCAATCAGAGCTCATCCTGTTTGTTCTAAATAAATGTTCTGGTGTTAGAGACCGTGTGTGCCTCGCATGTCGCGCGTCCACTTCCTGTCTTTGTCACCACTTCTCCATCTTCCAGCAAGGTGCTGTGTCCCACATGCCAGCTGGAGTACTCACACACCAGGCCTTGGGGCAGCCTCTGGTTCATGCTCCACCTGGAGGGGGTGCCCAGCTGCAACCTCAGTGGAGACAGCCACTGCCAGGTATCCCATGATGCAGAGCACGTCATAGATATAGCACAGCGAATAGATCCCACAAGCTTCGTGGGGAATGGCTGAGGCATGCTGGCCGAAGTGTCTGATTGGTTGTGCAGTCAGAGCTCTCTTGCGCCCCCTGTTTCTCTCAGGCCAGATGCTGATGGCTCCGGGGCAGAGGAGCTCCGTGGGTCCCACTCCAGGAATGCCCCAGGTGTCCAGTGTCATGGAAGATGAGATCTTGATGGACCTGATCTGAGCTCAGTTCTGGTGGAACCGCCAGGGGCGGGTTCTGCCAGGAACTGCAGAAGTTTGCAGCGGCGCAAAGGCTCATGGTTAGCGTGTAGGACAATGGCGAGCGCCGCACTGCAACGATGTACTGTTTTATTTGTTCAACATCTGTAGATGTTATAGCCTGATTTCATTGCTAATTTTTTATTTTGAATTTTACCGCTCCTCTGTTGCTCTCCTTGTTTTTAAGGTTGTTTCAACCGTGGAATAAAGGTTTTGTGTATGAAATGTCTTCCTGGATCCGGGTGTGCCCATGTAGAGTTGGGTGTGGGGTCCCATAGCAGCCCAGAGGTCCATGTTTTATCTTGGGTCTCAGCCACACTTAACCGTTCAGAGAAACACCAAAATAGATAAACCTCAAGTGTATTGTTTAGCATTTGTTTCTGCCAAATAGTGTCGGTGTGTTAATTTTAACTCCTCCAATATGCTGTGCAGCCGCACATGGCTGTGGGAGCCAGGATGGGCCGCACCGTACCGCCAAGCAGTCTCAGCAGATGGCGGTATCTGGCAGTGATTCTTCTCCCAGGCCCGGCACACTTACTGAGAGCTGACTGTACACAGAGCACACATTAGCTTCGCACCCATTGACTAATTAGCGCATGCGGGCGTGTGTCTATCTGTGCTGGTGTGTTAGTGCACACTTGGGCCCTGTTGCACACATCTGCCGTATAAACATTTACTCGCTTTACATACGCACCTGTCCAGGACCTCACAAGCATTGTACGCACACAGACACACACAGACAAGCAGTCATTCTCACACACAGGAAATGATGTCAGTCTGTCTCAAAGGAGATGGAAATGGTTGCTAGGATACTGTCACACTGGGATCTCCCTTTTCCAATAAGAAAACCTGTAGCCTTTCAATGAAATGTTTTATTTTCTGAGTCATCATGCTACCTACTTCTCAGATAGCTGCAGTGTAAGTACCACTGTTCTAGTATTCTTGTCTGCTTTGTATATATCTATCTTCTCAGGAAATAAAGTCATAAGTACTGCCGCTCTTCTAACTGCTTTCTATATATCTAAGATGTGGGTGAGTGAGCTTTGGCTCAGCTGTGTCTGTGTTACTGTAGAGCGAGAACCACAGGCACTGATGCAGGGCTACCTGCTGGGCCACATCCTCCATGCTGGGGTGGGGAGGGGGATGAAGACAGGCACAGCGGAGGCTGGGGGTCAGACGGGAAGTCCAGGGCTCTGAACATTAAGGCTGTACCTATACAGATCTCACCCAACACCCCATCCTGACCTGTGGGGATAATGAGAGAAAAGAACCAAATCAGCGGTTTTGGGGGATTATTATTGACCTCTAAGTGACCTCTCAGTGGTCCAAGCAGACATGGTCGCTAAGGAAGCACTCAACTCGGACACACGGAAGATTTTAATACCACCGTCAGAGTTCAAACCTGGACTGAATGGGTATGTAACAGAAATTTGGCAAAGATACTGGGACAAATGCATAAGTAGCAAATTCTATTAAATTAACCCCGTTGTTGCAAATGGAGCAACAAGTCAGTTTTAAAAATCGTTGGGAGCAGATCAGTTACACCAGGTGTCGCTTAGGATATAGCAGGCTCTCATAGGCTTTTGCTTATGGATGAGGAACCCTCTCTGTGCTCCACATGTCAATGGCCTTTGTCAATTAAGTACGTTTTTATGTATTGTTACTCTTTCATTGCTACTGTATCATGCAAATATGTCTCCCAATCAGTACTATTCAGGATGTTTTCAAGGTTAAACCAGAGGTAGTTCTGGAGTTTCTAACTAATGTAAATGTAAAGCACCCCTATTTAGAATTCTATAATTAGTAGGTAATCTCGTTATTACTGTCTATGCGTTGTGAGGTTTTTAACTTCTCTGGATTTATTTTTAATGATTAGAAACTTTTAAAAGGTGAAGGGTGAAAGTAATTTTGAGTGACACACCATAGCACACAGTACACAACAGTGAAATGTGTCCTCTGTATTTAATCTTATGCGTAACCTAGGCTTTGCCATGAATATAGCCCTAGCTGCTTGGTGTGAAAACTAGCCTCTCTGTGGCATTTATAGAACTGAATAATCCCAAACCTCTCTGTGGTCTTCGTAGGACTGAATAATCCCCAGTCCTCTCTGTGGTCTTTACAGGACTGAATTATCCCAATCCTCTCTGTGGTCTTCGTAGGACTGAATAATCCCAGACCTCTCTGTGGTCTTCGTAGGACTGAATAATCCCAGACCTCTCTGTGGTCTTTACAGGACTGAATAATCCCAGACCTCTGTGCTCTTTACAGGACTGAATAATGACATACCTCTTTGTGCCCTTTATAGGATTGAATAATCCCAGACCTCTCTGTGGCCATTTTAGGACTAAATTATCCCAAACCTTTGTGATCTTCTTAGGACTGAATAATCCCAGACCTCTCTGTGGTCTTTACAGGACTGAATAATGACAGACCTCTCTGTGGTCTTTATAGGACTGAATTATCCCAACACTCTGTGGTCTTTATAGGACTGAATTATCCCAATCCTCTCTGTGGTCTTTATTGGACTGAATAATCCCCAGTCCTCTCTGTGGTCTTTATAGGACTGAATAATCTCAGACCTCTCTGTGGTTTTCATAGGACTGAATAATCCCAGACCTCTCTGTGGTCTTTACAGGACTGAATAATGACAGACCTCTTTGTGGCCTTTATAGGATTGAATAATCCCAGACCTTTCTGTGGCCTTTATAGGACTAAATTATCCCAAACCTTTGTGGTCTTTATAGGACTGAATAATCCCCAGTCCTCTCTGTGGTCTATTCAGGACTGAATAATGACAGACCTCTATGTGGTCTTTATAGGACTGAATTATCCCGACACTCTGTGGTCTTTATAGGACTGAATTATCCCAATCCTCTCTGTGGTCTTCATAGGATTGAATACTCCCTGGGCACAGGGGTAGCCCAGCCACCTTTACCTGTATGCTTCTCTCAAGTGTTCTGTGTATTAATCCTCTTCAGCTGGAATTGGCATTTATTTTGTTTCCTGGGGTGTCCATTTAGCGACTGTGTATGGAGCACGCAGCCGGGGTCCTCACTGCGGCTCATTAACGGTCATGACCAGGGGAGCTGAAGCACAGGGTCTGATGGGAAATGTGAGGGGATCTTTTAAGTAGGCGAGGGGGACGGAGGTGGAGACAGAGCAGTCCATAGAGAGACACATCGAGGAAGGCGCGTGTTGTTTAATGTGCTCTGTGAGAGGCAGAGTGCGAGGGAGGGAGGAGGGAGGGAGGGGTATCCACTGCACTGCTGTGTGACTGGAAATTTAATGGGGGGGGGGGGGGGG